GGTGGGATCTAAATGCTGTCTAAGTGTATTACGTAATCCTTTTGGCCAAGATTTTTGGCCTCTTGAGGCAATTTTAGTCATTTTATTGTCTGAAGCCACTTATTTTGGGCATTGAATTGTCTTTTTTACTTCTCTTTACCTCTGCGCCATCGTCGTTTTGTTGTCTTGTCCAAAGGTGGCCTGGCCTCTCGATGAGAAAGAAGGCTTTTGCATTGTTGAACTTACTTCCACTTCGAGTGGAAGTGTTGAGTGAAGAGATTCGAAGGTCGGTTCCACCAGAAGACGACGGTGGATTCCTCTTGACCAGCTGTCGATTTGCTTTACTGGAACATTGATGCTGACGCTGTTTCCAAGCCAATCTCCTTCGATTCCGGTGAAAAGGTGCTAAGCATCCGTCCGTCATATGACGGACATCATCAGAGCGAGGTAACATCGTCACAACAAAATTGAAGCTAGCGAGTCAATAAAACTCACCGGCAAATCCCTAAAAAGTGGTATATATACTCTACATCTGACCTCTTTGATCGAGTATAAAGTGATTTGATTAGATGTAGAGTATATGTACCACTTTTTAGGGATTTGCCAGAGAGTTTTCTTGACTCGTTAGCTTGAATTTTGTTGTGACAATATTACCTCGCTCTGAAGATGTCCGTTATATGACTAACGGATGCTTAGCACCTTTTCACCGGAATCGAAGGAGATTGCCTCGGAAACAGCGTCAGCATGAATGCTCCGGTAAAGCCAATCGACAGTTGGTCAAGAGGAATCCGCCATCGTCTTCTGGTGGGATCGACTTTGAGTCTCTTCACAAAAGAACTTTCACTCGAAATGGAAGTAAGCTCAACTATTATGAAACAATAGATTCCTCGAAAACTGACATATCTCCGAAATTTAAATTATCCGTTCTCTGCATCACTTTATACAAGCTAGGGTGACTTGAGCTGTTATTTAAGATTTACGAATAGTCTCAAAATCTAATTTCTTGGAGAGTCTCACACCCTTGGGCAAGCAGTTGCACATACATCCGCATCGAGGGATTTTAAGAAATGTCCAAGCTCATTCATCATTATGGGATGAAGTCAACCTCGGCCTTATCGGAAGTTGGACGAGTAAGAGGTTCATAAATGAGTTGTCATGGTTGCCGGAATCAGAACATGGCGGTCACGGCCTACTGACAGAGCCGGATGCACTCGTTTTATGTCCAAATGTGGTGTATGGCCCGAACTTGACCTGTCAGCATGGCTATTCTGTGAGGATCAACTGCTGTTGATGGCTGGATCCGGTGCCAGGTTTGAGGAAATAGTCCGCTCAAATGAGCCTCACCAACTCGACTAAGTCTGAGCTCTAATGTTTGGCTTCGTTTCGAGGTAAACTGGCCTGCCTTTGATTTCATTTGAAGCCCAGCTTCTCTTCATACTCGTTTCGATGTGTTGCAGGTGAAATGCTTGCAAAATGGCGTAAACAATGCGGAAAAGGAGACGGTAAACAATCTCGGAGGTAGAAATGCAGGCCATCCGGATAAACAATGGACGAGTATGACCAAAATTTTCTGACCAGACGTCTATGAAATTGTATTCTTTTTGAGTAGATATTGAAGTAAATGAAAAGTAAATATACGCATAAACGGCCGAAGCGCGATGCAATAGCGATTTTTTGTTTACTTTCAGCAATCACGGCTGCACAACAACATGCTGAACGCCAATTGGTATGCAAGTAAATGAACATAATTTGTCTGATTCTACACTCGGTTGATTCGATGGTCAATCGTTCAACGGGCCAGCTTGTGAGCCAGTCGAAAATGAGCCGGATTGTATTCGCGAGGTAGTGGGCAGCTAAAGGACAGTTTGAGACAACCTACTGTTGCACTTCAAGTAGTAGCATTGGCTCGGATGAAAAGTGCAAAAAGGGCAATGAGAAAATACTTGAGCACTTCCTCCATGACTGCGTGGTTTTGTGGCCAATGTTTTTTCGTGTGACACGACTGTCCATTTCGAAGGAAAAATGGTTTAGTACCAAGTTGCGATGTGGCCACACTGGAAACGGGAAGAGGAGTGTCGAATTGTGCGAAAAAGTCGTCGGCTCACCGTCCCACGGCCCCGATGAAACTGTGCCTTGACAGACATCATCCGAGCCGGAATTCATACTTCACGAAATATAGCAAAAATATACTAAACCCCAAAAAATGGTTTGCTGGCTGCAACCCTAGTCGCTTTTTTTAACTCCTAAATTCGAGATCTTAATGAGTCATCGCATGAATTGGTTGGCTACTTCAACTGGTAGTGGCTTCGGTGGCTTCTATTTGCTTACACAATAGTCTTTTGTGCGTATGCAATGTTCATGTCGTGAGAAGTGTGATAACCTAAGCCTAGACTCGAGGCATCCTTCTTTTGCTCACTATCTTTTTATGCTCACCCTCTCTCTCTCTCCTTCTCATTAAGCCTATCCAGCAGCCACAAATAATT